CCTTTAAAAATGTAACAATACCATCACACCTAAAAATAATTATTAAAAACCTTAATATCAAATATCTGATTTTCACGTTTTTCCTATGGTGTCAACAGTTTGTTTAAATCAGTATCCAAATAAGTCCATAAATTATCTTGATAGACATACCTCTTAAGTCTCCTTTAACCCATCCTTGTCTCTTCTCCTTGCATTTCTGTTGTTGAAGAAGCAGGGCCACTGGTCTTGTAGTTTTCCAGAGTCTGGGTTTTGCTGATTGAGTCCCTTGTATTACATTTGTCTCTCTGTTCCCGGTATTTCTAATGAAGTGGTAGAGCTGGAGGCTTAATCATGATCAGATGTGACTTTTGGCAGAACTGCTTCTTAGGTGGTATATATACTTCCATTAGAAGGCACAAAATCTGATTGCTCACTCTTCATGAGGTTAGCAGTCACTGGTGATTACTGTCTAGATCACTAATTGTTGTGGAGTAAAATGGTGGTATCCTAATTCTATCATTTCTATTAGCTGGAACGTCTTTAAAAGCATATCCCAAAGGTAACTATGATTCTGTCCACTACCATTATTAACTCATAGAGTTAAACATAATACAATGAGTTTCAATCTCTTGCCGGTATTATCCTTGCTGATGCTAAGGTTATCTCAGTTTTGGCCAGTGGTAGCTTCAAGGTGCCTCCTTAATCTTTCTGATAGAGCTCTAGTACAAAAGAATGTTTCCTAGGCTCTTCTTGTACATTTCTTTCTCATACTTGGAATCAGTAATTTATCCAAAGGAGTCTGGTTTCTTTGAAGAAAACAGTATTTAGATACCACAACTCAGGCACTAAATCTGACTTTCATTTGAATTATGTCTAAAGCTTATCAACTTAATTAAGCATGATAAATTAAGCATGATAAATACTGTTTCTGATAAATTCACGTGGCTGCATATATGTGGGTTTCTAAGGATGGGACTCTGATTTTTTTAAGAATACATATATTTTAATTGTGAGAGTAAGACCCGGTACATCAATCCAGGAGACAGTACCATAATTTTTATCGATGACCCTCACAAAACCTTTATTCCAACAATTCCACTTTTAGAAATTTATTTTATTATTAGGGTAAGGATTTTCCTAAGAATTCTTTAAAATAATAAACAATAATGTCCAAACAATGGGAAATTAATTTAAAAAAACCATGCAATGCATCCACAGAAACTTACAGTAATTAATATGATATACAGTATCAATGCACTGTTAATTAAGAAAGGTGGGTTACAAAAGTGTGTTATGCATTTGTCAAACACATAGAAAAAAAATCATGAAGTCCAGGTACCCAAATATATTTTTTCTTTCTTTCAGAGATGGAGTCTCATTCTGTTACCCAGGTTGGAGTGCAATGGCGCAATTGTGGCTCACTGCAGCCTCAGCCGCTCCTCAAGTGATCCACCCGCCTAAGCCTCCCAAAGTCCTGGGATTACAGGTGTGAGCCACCGTGCCCGGCCCTGCCAGGTATTCAACTCTTAAAAGTGCTAACTACACCATTCTCTGTGTTTCCACTGCTGGTTTAGGATTTTACTTCTCTGGGTCTGTCAAATCAGTACTACTCCTTTATCTGCTTCCCAGTTTCCAAAATTTTGTTCTTGTTCAATTCACCTTGTCCTTGTTTGATTACCCCAGACCCTATCACTTTAGTGGAGATTTCAGGAAAAAGCAGACACTAATTAATATTTTGCTCAACCTTCTGTTTTTACCTAATGTCTTGTTGTTTTTTATAGGAGAAGAGGTGCTCTGAGGAGCATATCAATTATAAAAGACATGCATTTCTAACTGAAAATAGTACATACATGTATGTATCTAAAACACATAAACAATACAGCAATATAAAACAGGCTCAATTTATATCCTAATCATATTCAGAGTTGAATACAGAAACAATAATGAAAAAAACTAAACTGGTAATAGGGCCAGGCGAGGTGGCTCATGCCTGTAATCCCAGCACTTTGGTAGGCCAGGGCCGGTGGATTACAAGGTCAGGAGATTGAGAGCACCCTGTTCAACATGGTGAAACCCCATCTCTACTAAAAATACAAAAATTAGCTGGGTGTGGTGGCATACACCTGTAATCCCAGCCACTTAGGAGGCTGAGGCAGGAGAATTACTTCAACCTGGGTGGAGGTTGCAGTGAGCTGAGATTGCGCCACTGTACTCCAGCCTGGCAAGGGGGCAAAGATCCATC